ATAGGAGGTGGTAGCCAGAAATTGAAGCCAAGGGTCAGAGCCAGAGGCCAGAGGCAAAGTCAGAAATCGGAGCTCAGTGTCAGGACTAGGTTACCTGGAGCAAGGCAAGGGGTAAGTCCGGAGTCAAGGGAAGAGCAAGGCTGGGAAGAAGACAGGAAAACGAGGTATCCTAGCTGTGGGAAATGCTTTGAGCAGTTGCTGAATGGCTGCTCTGGCGCTGAATTCAAGACCTGGACTGCTGACCCTTCCCACCAATCAGGCAGTACGACCAGTCAGGCAGCCTAATACAGGCCGCTGCGCTTGTTAGTCTGCCTGGAGACTAGCTCTGCTGCAGCCCCTGCTTCCTGACCCCCAGGCTGGGAAGTCTCCGTCAGGATCAGAATTCCCGAAAAGTGTGTCTGTGTCTGTGCGTGTCGGTGAGAGTTTGTTTCAGATCTAAAGTCCCATTTTGTTCTCAATTCTAATACCACCATGTCTGGATCCCCACACTAATGTGGGTGAGTTTCAGCTGACAAATCTGTTTACATTCAAAGAGGGCCAGGAGCAGCTGTACACAGGGTGGATGGAACAGACTCAGATAATCACAAACGCACACACCAGCAGGGAGCTGCATAAAGATTTCAACATCCAAAAAATCCACTGAGTAATAAATCCATTAGCTCTGAAACAAACTAGATTTTAGATTTAAGTTCATAAAATTGCTGAAATTTAGGGGTTTAATATACAGATAAACCCTACTGTCTCCCACATCACACACTCTTCTTGCTCTGTTCAGTTCATCATTTTTTCTGCATAGGACAAAAAGAGAAAACACCTCAAGCCCTGTTCGCCGAATGCCCGAACACTACAAGCTGCACAGGTATTTCTGCTTCTCTGTGTCTCATTCTTGATCCCTAAGGACTTTCCCAGTTGTCCCAGTAACATGTGAGGTTTCTGCATTTCCAGAATGGGAGAAGTTACGTGTCGTGGGAGGAGAGAACAGATGCTCGGGGAGAGTGGAGGTTTGGTACCGTGGCTCCTGGGGAACAGTTTGTGATGACTCCTGGGACATGGCGGATGCTAACGTTGTGTGTAAACAACTGGGCTGTGGATCTGCTGTATCTGCCCCGGGCGAGGCTGCATATGGCGAGGGGACTGGTCCCATCTGGGTGGAGACGTTGAATTGCAGAGGGACAGAGTCATCTCTCTGGGAGTGTCCTGCCAAGCCCTGGGGTGAGAGCAACTGTGGCCATAAGGAAGATGTTGCAGTGAATTGCTCAGGTGAGTGACAGGAGATGTTTCTGCTACATGCTGTAATTTTCCGGAAGGAGGATGGGTCCAATTGCCTTCCCCTCCTTGGTCACAGACCAGGCCCTCCCATCTCCCACGTGCAGGAGCATCAATGATGCTATAGGGTGGAACCTTTGTGGGGTCAGATTGGCTCAGACATCAGCCCACGTAGCCCCTGCATCCACCACAGACCCCAGTGTGCTGGTTTGTTACTAGACAGCATAGGAGGACGTGGGCCCTAAATCACTAACATACAGACCCTGTGCTGGTCTGAGGGAGTTTGTAGAAGTGACGTTTGGAGATCCTCAGGGACTCTGAGGGACGCTACCCGGTAACAAACACGTCACTTCCCCCTCGCTCCAGACTCCAACTCTCCTCCCTTTCCCTTTGCAGGTGTGACAGAGACAACAGCATCACTGAGTAGAACAGGTAAAACATCCCCCTCTCCCATCAAGAGTTAAATATACCTGCTGCTGGGTCACAGAGGATGTGCTGCAAGCTGCAGCCTAAGGCAGGAGCTCCTTTCTGTGTGTAAGCAGGGGAATGGTCGCGCTATTGTGGGGAACTTTCCTGGCGTATACAGTACCCCGGTGAAGTGGACTAATGAAGGGATCTGAGTCCTCCCACTTCCTTTACCCAGAGGCCTTCCTGCTGTCAAGCGCTCCCCTTCCACTCTCCTGTGTGGCAGAGTCCTTGTAACCCTGACAAGGCTGGGCCCAGGATTCCTGGGGGCTCCATCCCCAACCTTGCCGTGGTCACTTAGGGCAGGGGCTGGGGTGTCCCCACTCTAGGATGCTCTCTCTGCACTCAACGCTTCCCTGACCCACTGATCATTACATACAGTTCAAAGCAAATACTATGTATTAAACAGCAATCAATTTTAAAACAATAAGGGAAAAATGGGAAAGGTTAAAGGAAAACATGTCACCCCACTCTGTGGCACAGGGACATCACAACCAGCGTCTCTGCAATGTAAGGGAATTTCACAGTCTGCTCCTCACAAGCCCCAGGCCTCCTTCTCAGGCCCTGGCTGTGCTGCAGGGATGCTGCGGGTTGGACACTTGCTCTGGCGGTGGCCACACACCCTCAGGCTTTAAATGGCTGGACCCTTCTTCCCAGCATCGCTCCTCCCCTGTCGGGGTTACGTCCCCTTACACATGGCCTGTGAAATCTAGGGGTGAATGACACCTGGCTGGGAGCTGCAGGCCCTGCTAACCCTGATGATTCCTGTCTGCTGGCTCCAGCTGACAGGGCAGGGCCCATGATTTAAACAGCAGCCTGTGAGCTGCGCTCTGTGTTCCAGCCCATTACTCTGCTGTTCTGGGCTGTGCAATGAGTGATTTGGGAGCTCCCCGGGGCCCCCCCTGACTCTCACAGGATAATCTCTCCCTGTCGTATGTTCATTTCCATCCAGTTCCCCCGCGCCGTCCTCTGACTGACAGTGGGAGAGTCACAGTGCCCATGGTCGTCTGCATTATCCTGGGGGCCCTGCTTTGCCTGGTCTTAATCATCCTGGGGGCACAGGTGCGAAGTGCCAGGGCACAGCGCAGAGGTGGGTGCTGATTGGTGTCACTGTGTGAAATGCCTCTGAAA